TACATAGGCTGCAGACATCTTCATATATTAGGCCACTTGTGTCTATTATAACTACTTCTCATCCAGCCACAAACAAATTCACTCTATCCAGGAGGCACGATTTATTTGGATAGTGTCTTTTTCTTTTATTTAACAAACTGGAATGCAAACAAGCCAAATTTAAATCGGAGTAATGGCCTTCAACTTTTTACCTTTTTAAAAAAATGTAGGGAAAAATACAGTTGTGTGAAAATGTACGGAGTAGACGTAAAAAGTAGGCTGAAGAATAATTACTTAAGTAGAGTACAGATCACTAAAATTTCTACTTAAGCAAAATAACACAATATTTGTACTTAATTACTTTACAACTCTGGATGAATCAAATATTGTCTTTTCTTTGTTTCAGGAGAAAAAAGACAAGTTCTTTCTAAACTCACCCCTGTTTTTTTTCTTTTTCTTTTTTAACTCAACTTAAAACTGTATTGTGTTGGGAAAAAAAAACTTATCAAAGCATGATTTAACCCAAACAAATCAAAATCAGATTTCAAATATTTATTCTTTTAATGTTATTTTTTATTTCCTGATATCTTGTGGATGCTCAGAAAGCAGCATCTGGACTGCTTTCTGCTGACAGTTTGGACTCAGGTTAGTGACAGATGATGCACTCTGTCACTTTACAGTGACCTGCAGCCAGTGATCACATGCATCTGATCTTAAGATGTCTGTATCCCTGAAAAGATTGATTTCTAGAGCTTTTAAATGCTGCTAAAACTGTTTATTTACGATAGAAAAGTCATATCTGCCTGTAAGGTATAAAGTAAACAATGAKTGTGCCGTTTGGGACCATCAGTCATGCCAGAGGAGCTGGTGCTGCTGGGGAATTAGATGCTGAGTTATGAGAGGAGGAGAAAAAAGGGAGGAAAGGGGAGGAGGGAAAACAAGTTGCTGGCACCGCCTGACAGATCCACAGCAGATCTGAGATTTATCGCATCATCACATCTAACCCTAAATGACTGCTTCAGTCCGAARACAGGGAGTCTGAATCCAGGTCGGAGTGAAGGAGTTCCGTCTCTGCTGATGCTTCGGGGATAAATCAATTCCTTTATCTTTCATCTTATCTCATCGCCATCTCCATCTGCCCACCCCCCCTCCTCTGCGCAACTGAGCCGGACTGGACCCGCTGGATGGCTGCTGCACTTAACGAACCGGTGTGAATATTTTCCTTCTTTCCCCCCACCCCATCCTCCTCATCCTCCTCCGAGACTGAGCAGCAACACAGCAGCAGCAAACAATGGCAGACCAGGTGAGCCAGGAGYCMTGCCCCGTCCCAGAAGCCACGGTGGTGGATCCGTGCCCGGGCGCGGTGCGGAACGGCCAGTGCGCCCCCGATGGCTTCACCAACCACCACCAGCAGCAGGCAAAGACCCCCACTGAGCCCGAGACCCTCACTGGGAGCCAGGAGATGAAGATTACAGACGCTGTGGACGGAGAAGGTAACTTCAGGGTTGGGTTTGGGATTTTTCAACCTGCTTTAAAAGTTGTGTGTTTGGGGTGTGTATAGGTGTGTGTGTGTGTGTGAGAGAAGGGGAGGAAGGGGAGCTATGACGAAGGCAGGATGCTTATTTTTATCCACGCCAGATATTTTCAGTCTGCTCTTTGAATAATGGATGATAGTCATACATCAGCAGGATTCACACAGGAACAATTCAGAAGTTTCAGCTCGGAGCTTTAAAATTCTGTCCTGGTCTGGATGTGTTCACCTGGACACCYGAGGGAAACCAGGCTGTTAAATCATGCACCGAAGGGATGCAGATGGCTGCATTCTGCTGCCAATCTTCTGCAAAACCAAAACAACATTTGGTGCTGCAGTGGAAAGAGTCCTGTTCGTCTGTAGTCTGCACAAAACCTGAGAAACTAAACGTTCCCCGGTGGATTCAGGGCCTCAGCTGGACACGAACTCCAAACCTAAATCAGTTCTTCAATAATGGTGCCTTTCCAGATGGGTTTCCAGCTGCCCATGCCAGAGGCACTAATGCACACCCATACCATCAGAGAGGCAGAATTTTGAGCTGCATAATTATAAGCCGGATGGTTTCTTAATACAATGACAACAATAATTTCAAATAAGGTTTCTGCTGACTACCAGCATTTCATAAAGTATCTCAAGGTGATACTTGGATAAAAGTAAAAGTATCTTACTGTAAAATTACTTTAGTAAAAGTTAGTCTCCTCTAAGAATATTACTTGAGTAAAAGTCTTAAACTAGCTGACAGTTACTGTACTTCAGCATCACAAGAAAATGTCGGACATAAAACGTACTTAAGTACTAAAAGTAATATTATTGAGTAAGAGTGAGCATTTAGAATTTCCAAAAGGA